TTTACGCCCATAAGTATGGCTATAACAAAACAAACAAAAAAAGATATTAACAAGTGTTAGCTAGGCAATGGAAAAAATAGAGACCCTTTATATCACCATTGGTGAGAAGGCCAACTATTACAGTTCATCTGAACAATCATCTGTCCGTTTCTTAAAACATTAAACATAAATATGCCATGTGAGATAGCAATTTCAACCCTAGATATCTATGTAAAGATATGAAAACATATATCCATGCAAAAAATGGTAAACAAATAATTGTTCCTGGAAGCATTATTAATAATAATAAACAAGTGGAAATAGACCACATGTCACTAAAAAAAAAATGGATTCAAAAGATGTGGTATACCCATACAATGGAAAATAAGTTAACCATAAAAAATTATTGATGCATGCTACAATATGGATGGACATTGAAAATGTTATGTAAAGTAAAAGAAGCCAGATGCAAAAGACTATATATTATTATATGAGTTCATTTATATGAAATGCATAGAAAAAGACAAATCTTATAAAGACAGAAATTGGATCAGCAAGGCTGTCACTCCAACGCACCCACCCAAGTCTGATTTTAAAGGATATGAAGCCCCATTAAATGGACATTAAAATTTAAGTTTTGTTTGATGTATGGAAACAGTAATATCAAGTCTTGGTTTCAAAATATGTTTAACCTCTTCTGAGTTATATAGAACAGGAAAATATTTTTTACTCGAAAATGTTGGACATGACAGTATTTCCCCTCTGCCTTAATCCACTTATCCTACAACCCTATAGGAAGGCAAAGACTGTTTTAATTGATTGACACAGTAAAAGTTATTGATAGTTGGATATGCACACATGGGCTGCATCTGTCTATAAAAAAGAAACAATGGAGCCAATTTTTTAAGTAATTCAAGCAAAATTAAATGTTCACATCTTTTAAACCTGGAAGCTATAAAAAACAAAATGGTACTCTGTACACAAAGATCATAAGCTATTTTTTGCTATCTTTAAGCCTCTTCCTGCATTTTGCCTGTATTTCCTATGCAGATATTATTGAGGTGATCAGGTAGGTGACTTCAATTTTTATGTTTTTCAACAAATTCAAGTACCAATAACTTTCAAATGATATTTAATAGCTATTTTAAACACAGAGGACCTAGTCTATAATATTTTGTCCTGATGTAAATACTTACTGCAAGTAGTAGATGGCAATAGAAGAAAACAATACTGAATAATGGGTAGTGGTTCTTTAAACACGGAGTAGAGGTAAATCTTAGAGATTTAGGACATTTCTAACTTTTTGAGATTGTGCAGTTTTAAGTTTTTAATGCATGCAATTAATGTCAATTTTATGATATTTTGATTAAAGTACTCTCACGCTTGCTGTATGTGCTGTATGTATTTTTGCTTGCCTTATGAAAATTTCTAACCGTACTGTATCAGTAACATTTCAAAAATGTATTTAAATTATAACATGTTAAAACCAAAGGACTGTCAAAGATGCATTTCTTTTAAGAATGTGGGAAATACTTTAATAATTTAATTTTCTCCTTTTTTAAAACTCACATTAGCATTTTTTTTGCAATAGCATCATTTTAACCCCCAAATGCATATTCACAGGATAAATAGCATTTTTTACAAGTAACATTTTGAATTTGTTCTTCTTGACATCTTTATGTTTATATGCATTTTGCATTTCTCTATCTCATTTTTTTGAAATCCAAATGTGGCCAATTTCAAGGTTTTGTGTTACATTCATTTTTTTTTCTTTTACTAGCTAGCATCTCTCTTTTACGGATTTTTCACAAATGAGATGTTTTTGAATTCTCTTTCATCCCTTTATTTTCCTTTTCAATATCACCCCAGGAACCATCATAAAGAGAAACGATGATGATATAACCAGTAATGACCGTGGTGAAGATAAAGGTATTTTTTGATTTTTTCAAAGCTCAACCCTGATGCATGATTTTATATCTATCTATCTATCTCTCTCTCTTTTTTTTTTTCATTTCAAACTGTTTTTCCTTCCCTTATTTGACTCTAGTACACTTTGGTGTGCTTCTTTATTTTCTTCTTGTACAGAAACCACTGTCATTTTTAACCCCAGTTACCATGTACAAGAGATAAATCACTGTGTGGAAGTATAAACATTGTGTCTGTACATGAAAAGTGTAATGAAATATTGTTCACAGAGAAGCCCACCTTGTTTTTCTTTTTTTGGCTTGGTCACAAGAAGAAAAAGTAGAATTTTAAAATATGCATGTATAGTCTCTTTTCTCCCTTCCAAATGTTATTTTGTAAGTTAATACACTACTTTGGAGCTTTGGTGTTCCTAATTAGTTTTGCAAACTGCAAAACTCTGCAGCACCTTAGAATAATTTTTTCAATGGGACTGAAATTTCAGTTTTGTTTGTTTGGTTTGGTATTCTTTGCAAACATATTGATTCCAACATAGGCATCCAATAATCTGCTCACAGTGAAGTACATCAAAAAACGTTTTAACAAGATGCTGTTGTTAACGAATCCTGATGCTTTCAGTACTGCCTTTTACAGCATTTAAAGAAAAAAAAAATAGCTTAGAAATGAAAAATGACAGGAAGCTAGCTATGTGCATCTTTGTTTTCACACCCCACCACTGTTCTTTGAAAACATATGTTTCTCCTTAAAATGTTTTATTGCTGTGAAGTTTCTTTTTAAGGTGACAAAATTGCTCAATAAATTATCTACCAATAGTGGAAATATTTTTCATAAAGATAGAAGGTCTGTGCATTCATGCAGAAAACACACACACTGTTTTTCTCCTCTTTGTGGAGAAGAAATTTTTTTTTTTTTAAAGGGGAAGCTATAAGAAAATACTCAAGCAAGCCCTTCCTCATTGGTAAGGCTCTATACAATTAGCTAACTACATAATTTTTTCCCATCTGGGTAGAAAATGCATGGAATTCCATTTATTTTTCCTAAACAATGAGGCCCTGGCTGGGCCTTTGGGTCTCTGTCTGAAAGGCCAAGCCCAAAAGTGAGTGCTGCATTATCCTTGCTGGTCAAGCCCTATTTCGTTGAAAGCATCTTTTGACCGGTTCTTGTAGTTGCTCCCTTCGTTGCTTATCTTCATAAATCAACTATTCTCCAAGAAAAGAAGTCTTGCCAACACTCTTTTCATGCCTGGTCTTCCATTAACATTTTGATTATTATTATTTTTACTGAGCCCATAGGGTTGTCATTGCCTTAAGTAGCTCTCTAAGAGGTCTTGATTCTGAAGGTGGTAGAAGTTCAAAATATACATTTTCTTCTGGTAGCCCCTTCTTTGATAAGGGCTTCCAAATGCCTGACATTTTATCAGTATTGAGCAAATACATAAAAATGAAATAAACTTTTGTTCTCTCATACCTTATACTGCTCTGATTTGTATCCTGTTTGGTCTCCTCTAACATACTTCCTTTTGATAATTAAGATCTATTGTCACATTGTTCCCAGTGAACGTTTATTACCATTAAAATGCCATCGAATTTTCTCTTAATATTGATAAGTTGTGATTTTTTGACTTTGCTTCAATACAACAACTGGTTATTACTTCCACAAGTTCAAGAGAATCTTGTCATATGTTTTATGAAAGGTAAGAGATATTAATTTCACATATTTTCCAAGGGAGCACTTTAAAGCAGTCCTTCAAAATCTCTACTTATTGTTTTTCCCACAATTTACTAGCCAACTACTGGTAGTGATAAAAGAAATGAGGCCAAAACCTAGGAAATTAGGAACCAGAAAGAAGCAGTGAATCATGAGGAAAGCCATTTTTTATTCATATAGCAGAAGACATTTCCCATAGGGTATGATGAATAAATGATTAATAGAAGATTTTTACTTTATATTTGAATTTAATATGAGAAATAAAAGTCACTTTTCTGCCATGGATTAAATATCTGCAAAGAAATACTTGGGTAACTTGACACTGTTTTGTGTGCTTTACTGTGACCAGTGGGTATGTCATTTCTTCTTTGTGCACCCAATAAAACTGTGATCATAATTCATTAAAATTGGAGCCACTGACCAAACAATGGTAATTCATATCCTCAGAATTCCTTTCTGGTATCTCAAAAGTGTCCCTGTGAATTATGACGGAAAAAAAATTTATTGAAGAAAAAATTGAAAATAAATGTGCATACATACTTGGAGTTTTCTTCTAGTAACAAAGATATTTAAATTATTTGTATACACACACAGACACACACACACACACACCTGTATCTAGAAATGTTTATAGGGGAGGTCAGTTTTCTGAAGACTAAATGCAGCCCTAATGGCAGATTAATGTTATAAACAGGTTGTTTAATCACAACTTTTCTTTCTTTCTTTTTTTTTTTTTCTTTGAGACGGAGTCTCGCTCTGTCGGGCTGGAGTGCAGTGGCCGGATCTCAGCTCACTGCAAGCTCCGCCTCCCGGTTCACGCCATTCTCCTGCTTCAGCCTCGCGAGTAGCTGGGACTGCAGGCGCCCGCCACCTCGCCCGGCTAGTTTTTTGTATTTTTTAGTAGAGACGGGGTTTCACCATGTTAGCCAGGATGGTCTCGATCTCCTGACCTCGTGATCCGCCCGTCTCGGCCTCCCAAAGTGCTGGGATTACAGGCTTGAGCCACCGCGCCCGGCCAATCACAACTTTTCAGAGAACAGGCACTGTAGTCTCCAACTTTCTATCACTACAGATCACTGGTTTTACATCATTGTTAATTTAAATAATAAAGTAAATTATGGAGAGGAATCATTGGTTGCAAGTCGCAATGGGAGTTTATAGTCCCTGTGAAAATATAAAGCATCTAAATAATTTGGATTCTTTTAAATAGAAAATGTAATGGCATTAGTCATGTTTCTTAGAAAACCTTATCAAAGGTCATATCATCCATAAAATTAATGTGCTTACTTCAAGTCAAAATAGGGAAATCAGTGAATCTCCTTTGTTCTTAATTTACCATCGGTGAGTCAGTAAGATCTTTATTGTGTTTCCTTACGTGGCTTTTTTTCCAGATATTCATGAACAGAATAGTAAGAAGCCAGTTATGGTCTATATCCATGGGGGATCTTACATGGAGGGCACTGGTAACATGATTGATGGCAGCATTTTGGCCAGCTATGGGAACGTCATCGTTATCACCATTAACTACCGTCTGGGAATATTAGGTAAGTGATTTCATCATGTGAATGAGCAAGAGGAAACATGAAAGGTCCACTTCTTATTTTAATGGGACTCATGGATTTGAATCCTGTTATTCCAGTTCCTGGTTAATTCCACTTTATGGTATTTACTTTATGTGATCAGATATGTTTTTTTTTTTCTTTTTCTACCTTCATGCAACATGGCCATTTTATTGTTGTATTTTTTTTCCATTCACTTCTGATCCAATAATTTTATTTTATGTAAGTTGAATCCCTTCTCAAACCAATGGCCACTTCAAGATCATCATGATAAAATGAAATTTTATTTAAAGCATGATTCTTCTTTGGAATTAAATGAATGTGTATTTATCTACATAGGCGTGTATAATGAACACATATTTGGTGATACGATAATTAATAATGGCCATAGATCTTAGCTTTCTGGTCTGATTGTGTTACTGTATGAATTAGTATATTATATGGAGAAAAAGATTTTATCCAGTTCTCTGATTATGTTGAAGCTTTGGAAGATCTCCTGTTTGGGTTCCACTGCATTTGCATGCAAGGAAACTTAAGTATTAGTTGACTTTTATTGCATTTGATGATCTACGATTAAAGGCCAAGTACATGGAAATTAAAGTTTAGCTCCTCCTTGTTTAGGTGTTTCATTCGTTTCCTAATTGGGATGGAAAATTATACAACTTCAGGGTAAGATTTCAACAACTTCTTAGATGACCTTTCCTGCTTTTGGCTAGTTTGTGAATAATATTCCTAGACCTCTGTGAAAACATTTGTTTTCTGTGCAAAAATCCTTTAAAATGGTGTTCAAAATAAAATTTTTAACAAATTATCCATGAGAGAGATGTGTGTATTGGTTGCATTGTGATTGTGATACAATATGAAATATAAAATACAATGGAGGCTGCTCATAGTAGCTCTCTCCTGTAATTGCAGTACTTTGGGAGGCCCGGGTGGGCAGATCACTTCAGGTCAGGAGTTTGAGTCCATCCTGGCAAATGTTGTGACACCTTGTCTCTACTAAAAGTACAAAAATTAGCCAGGTGTGGCAGCAGGCACCTGTAATACCAGCTACTAGATAGGCTGAGCCAGGTGAATCTCTGGAACTCAGAAGGCTGAGGTTGCAGTGAGCTGACATTGTGCCACTGTACTCAGCCTGGGCAACAAAGTGAGACTCATCTCAAAAAAATAAATAAATAAATAAATAAATAAATAAATAAATAAATAAATAGGACTAAAGTAGGTCAAACAAGAAATATGTCTGAAAATGTTTTCTTCAAATAGGTAAATATTTTCAAGAATATTTTATTTTCAATCAGATTATTTTATTTCATTTTGAGTGTGTGTGTGTGTGTGTTTTTTTTTTTAATTCCTGTGTGAACACATTAACCTGTAAGAAACCATAAAAGGTGGTGAATTGCTGAGAAACCTAAGAGGTGACTTGAAACCAACCAAATTCCATCAATAATACACTGGATAAAGAAAATGTGGTACATATACACCATGGAATATTATGCAGCTATATAAAGAATGAGTTTGTGTTCTTTTCAGGGACATGGATGAAGCCAGAAAAAAATCATTGTCAGCAAACTATCACAAGGACAGAAATCCAAACACTTCATGTTCTCACTCATAAATGGGAGTTGAATAGTGAGAACACATGGGCACAGGGAGGGGAACATCACACACCGAGGCCTGTCCAGGAGTTGGGGGATGGGGAAGGGATAGCATTAGGAGAAATACCTAATGTAAATGACGAATTGAGGGATGCAGCAAATCAACGTGGCACATGTATAGCTATGTATCAAACCTGCATATTGTGCACATGTACCCTAGAACTTAAAGTATAATAAAAAAAAAAAGAAAAAGAAACCCTAAGAGAAATGCATTTCTTACGTTGAAATACAAGTCACTCACAAGTTTTGTTAAAGTTATCTTTTGAACCATTGATAAAGAATTCAAAATTCCAGGTTGTTTTTTGCATTAAACAAAATAAACCCCAACAAAAAACCTTTTAGTGTCAAACATTTTGTTATATTGTTGGGTTTTTTATTTTTTTTTATTTTTTATTTTTTTGCAGTTTTCTGTGAGCCACATCTTAGTGGAATAATATCTCTGAACTTTTGCGTAGCAATGATTGACCACTTCACTGATTTTTTGTAGGCTCTGACCAGTTGCTTTGGCTACTAGTGTTGGAAACAGGAAATTGTGCTTTTGGTGTTTTAAAAAGTTCTACTCTGACAAAGAGGTGGAAGGAGGAAAGCATGTATGAGGGCACTGCACAGGCCCTCTTCAAAGGGAGCAGTGTGTGCAATGCCTGTAGCCAGGCCACAAGGAAGAAAATTTGGGCATCCTTTGCTGAAGGAAGCAGTGGGCATCGAGAAAATTCTGTTTGCTGGAATTACAAAATATTATGTTGCATGCACGATGGATTGATGTGACTGATAAGATTGGTAAGATTGAGTTTCAAAAGAAATTGATCTCCTTTTCCCCCAAAACCCCAGTTGTATCAAGCAACTCTATACTATATTTTTTTAAATCAGTTTTTGGGTTTTTTTTTTTTTTTCCTTCCTGAGTCAAATGGAGATCTTGCAAAGTAGCCTGGGAATTATACACACTTATTTTAGAGGAAGAAAAAAACTCATTGAAAAATCCTAAGTCTACTTTTTGCTATGTAGATTTTTTTTTTAAGTCATAAGATAACAGAAAGCTATAATATTCATGGGGAAGAAACAAAAGAAGTGATTTAGCATGCTATGCTGTCTATTTACATTCTTCCAATGAGCTAGTGTGGAAAAGCGAAGTGTACTACAGACCCCCCCTTTCATTTGATGCAATGAAATGTGCCAAGTTTTCCAGTTATAAAGGGTGATAGAGACTTTAAAATGTAACTGTATGGACCTTTACTATGCATCTTGCATTCACAATTGTCCTCTTGAAAATGGCTAAGCAGCATTTACTTTTATGATCATAATGGAAGTGGAATCTGACATTAGAAAGAACACAGATTGCAGCTTCAACATACAGAAGCTAACGTCTTTCCGCTACATCTACTGTGAGAAAGCCAGCTTTTTCTAAGACTCGTTCCTTAGGAGTAGAAGGCAGTGGTATTCTCTCCCTCGCAAGGTTGTTGTACAGTATAAAATTTCTATGGTTCAAAATATCACACTTTATATATAATCTGTATAATTACTTGTCAGCAAAAAATAACCTTTTATAAGACGTTTTATGGACTCATGTAGGTGAAATTTTGTAGGCTGTCAACAGAAATCATTATACCCAGTCACATTACAATTAGTGCCATTAGTACCATTATACATTGTATTAATGCTACTGTTCATCCACAGTAAGAATTGCAGCTGACCCAATATGTATTGGGTAATATCTATCAAATATTGGCATCCAAACTGAACCATGTTAATTTAAAACATCATTACGGCCGGGTGCAGTGACTCATTCCTGTAATCTTAGCACTTTGAGAGGCCGAGGCTGGCAGATCACTAGGTCAGGAGATCAAGACCATCCTGACCAATGTAGTGAAACCCCATCTCTAAATATACAAAAATTAGATTAGTGTCATGGAGCCTGCCTGTAATCCCAGACTGAGGCACAAGAATCCCTTGAACCCAGGAGCGGGAGGTTGCAGTGAGCCAAGATTGAACTCTGCACCCCAGCCTGGTAACAGGGCAAGACTCCATCTAAAAAATATATGTATATACATTTAAATAAATATATTTATAATCTATACACACATATATTTACATAAATATATATTTATAATATGTTTATATATTTATTATTATATATTTATATTTATATATTCATAATATGCATTATAAATATAATATAAAATAATACAAATATATAAATAAATACAAATCTAAATATTTAAATAAATAAATATAAACTATATACATATGTAAATAGATATATACAGTTCTAGATATTAAATAAATCAGAAGACCATCATGTTTGCTTTTGGAAGTATTAAGTTTTGCTTTTGTTTTGTGGGTTTTTTTTTTTATAATCAGAACTGTGCTACACAATCTTGCTAGCCATTTATAATCCAACCCAGGACATGTTTGAGAGTTGCTCAAGTGCTATGAATAAACTGAGATTGTCCCAGGCAAATTGAGATGTATCTTCACACTATAAGGTAATTATTTATATTTACATGAAGTGTATTCTGATTGAATTTGTGTTCAGTTTGTTTTTAAAGAAATGGCACGTCTATAGACAGACTTCCTGTTTAATTCTGCTGTATACCCTTGTCACTAGGAAGGTATATATGTTACCGGAAAGGGATCTGATCCTAATCCAGACTCGAGATGTTTCTTGGATCTAGCACATGAAAGAATTGAATAAGAATCCATATAGTGAAATAGAGTTTATTAGGAAAATAAAGGAATAAAGAATGACTGCTCCATAGGCAGAGCAACGCAGAGAACTGCTTTTGGCTATTTTTATGTTATTTCTTGATAATATGCTAAACAAGGGGTGAGTTATTTATTAGTTTTCCAGGAAAGGGGTGACAATTCCTGGAGCTGAGGGATCCTCCCCATCTCAGATGATAAGGGGTAAATTCCTGTCATTGCCATGGCATTTGTAAACTGTCGTGGTACTGGTGGGAGTATCTTTAGCATGCCAATACATTATAATTGGCTTAGTATAATGAGCAGTGAGGTGGACTAGAGGTCACTCTCATTGCCATCTTGGTTTTGGTGGGTTTTGGCTAGCTTCTTTACCACATTATTTTATCAACAAGGCCTTTATGACCTATATCTTGTGCTGACCTATCTCATCCTGTGACTAAGAATGCCCAGTCTCCTGGGAATGTAGTGCAGTAAGTTCCAGCCTTATTTTACCCAGCCCCTATTCAAGATGGAGATGCTGTGGTTCAAAACCCTCTCACATATGTATTCAAGACTTTGGAAAACCTAGAGTTCACCAGTACCTCTCAGGTTAACCAGTGCCAGAGTATACGGTATTCTTATCTTCTCAGAAGC